ACAATGGCCTCTTAATTACACCAGTGTGTGCCGCTCTCCCTAGAAATGTGGGTATTTTTTTGTAAGTATGGGCTAAGATATTAAACACATAGAGAAATAAAAGGTTTAAAATCAATGGTTAGTAATTAATGTCAGTTTTTAAAGTAGGACCAAGTTGATTTGTAGTTAATGTTAGTAGGAACTGTCTCAAAACCTTAAAAGTAGTATTTTTTTTTATTTGTAACCACATTTGATATTATTTTAATATGATATATGTAATATGTATTTCAAATATTTATTTTTAGTTCAAACGATTATTAATTAAGCTTATAGACAATATTTTCAAAACCCTGAAGTTAAAATTTTTAAAATTAACAATCAAATAAGTTATCAATAGTTAATTTTTCCAATTGTATTCTTATGTCTTCACGGACATTAGGTTAATTATTTTTCTGCTAGTGCATTTTGCAGGCATGTGATAGTGTTTGTTTAGTCGGATGTTTGCTTGACACTTTTCTTTGGCTTTGCCTTTGCTTGCCGGCTTTTCCTTTTGGCCAGCACTTGTTGGCAAGTTCTTCTTTTGGCCTTTTTTGTCGTCGGCTGCCGTTTCCTATTCATTCCTTTTTGGACTTTGACTTTGACTTCGCCTGGTTTTGGTATAATGAGCACACATCTCGGAGGAGAGTCCGCATGTGAGGATCCTCCGACAGGATGTTAATTTCAATTTAAATGCCGGCCAGCTCCTTGAGAGCTCACAATGTCCTTTGGGCCGCAGGCGAATGTCTCAAGCAACTTTGTCCTGCTTGGGTCAACTTCCTTGGCTCACTTTTGACTGCCATTCTTGACCTCCCTGCAATTGCATTGACCAAAAGTCGAGAGCCTGCGGCCTTGGCCAGTGACTTTAATTGGATTCTTTGTGCCGGTTTATTACAGCTCCAAGTTGAGCTGAATTCATGTTGTGTGTTGACTCAATTTGGCTTCCTGGAAATAATCCCATTGCTGATCTTTGGCCACTCATTTGGCTAATTAAAATGGCATGAACAAACAGAAGCTCATCCATTTACATTTATGAATTATCGGTTCAAATTTAGCACACCGTCATGCCACGCCCCCTCACTTTTCTGACAGCTCATAATTCACACATCGAACTTGGGGTTACGGGCTAAATCTTGGAGCAGCCGCGGAAATCACGTACAGCCAGGGCTAAAGTTGCCGGATCCTTGGCATTATTGTCTTTTAAGCTAACCCAGTTTCCCATCCCCATCGACCACAACAGCTAATTAACGTTAATTTATTAAATCAGTGAGCAAGTAAAGGCATCCAAGCAACTTTCCTCCAAAGGGGGACTGGGGATTGGGGCAGAGACAGCGCCAAGAGCTGCCAGAGATAAAAGTTGCACACGACTACGCTCCATCCAAGCTCAGGCTTAAGGACTTTGCGTTTTTTCTATACCCAGCAGTCGAGGAGTTCAAGGGTGTATTGGACTTATTCAAACATATAAGAAATACAGACAGGATTTCATTCTTTTATGGTTATTTGACTATAAAATGCTTAATAGCTTGGATTATTAAAATTGATTTTAGTACATCCATTTTACAAATCAGATTATTAAGTCTTATATAATTTACTTCTAAAATAAATTATTTTATATAAATGGTGATATTTATATCAAGCTGCTTACAACTTAAATTCAGACAATTATGCGTTAAAAATAAAATAGATTCATTTCCATAAAATTTGTCTATGTGTAAACTTCAAGATTATTAATATTATGGTTACATTTTCATAGGAACAAGATAAATTCAATAGTTATATAAAACAACTGACAAATTTTTGAACATGTTTATCATTTTCAAAAAGGATAAACTTGAAACGGTATTATTTAATTTAAAACCAATTTTTTTAATTGCCTACGTACTTCTTCTTGGGTATCCCATAGTCGATAAGCTCCCCTAGACGTGCCCGGCATTCTTACTTGTCTTAGCTGGAAAAGCATGAAAACCACACGCAGCAATTATTAATTCAATTATTTTAGCGCAAACAGCCACCTCAGACTAGGAGCGAGATCCAAGAATCCAAGAATCCAAGAATCCGAGAATCCAGGACCAAGACGCAGGAAGCTGTGTGGCATAAATGAGTTCTCTTTTCTGTGTGAGTGGATGAAATAGAGTAGCACAAACACAATTAAGACGGCACAGCGAAGGGAATGGGAAATGAGGGATAGAAAGAAAGGAGAGCAAATAAAGTGGCAAATTTAATTAGGAATCAGCAGAGAAAGCAGAAGTGCAGCACTCCGAATACCTGATGATAACCCACATCAGTTGCCGGACATGTGAATTAATAACAGCATCCGTTTCCGGTCAAAAATGGAGCCCTCTAGCTGCTGGACAAAGTGAATTCGGGGGCACTGGAATTATAATAATAATATTAATAATGAGTGGGCAAAAAAGCAGACGGCGGACAGCGTGTCCGTAATAACTTCCGAAATGAAGTTGGCCGTTTTATTGTCGCAGGAAAAGTTTCCTCCCGGGGGAGTGAAAATAAAGCGATACCGAAAGTAGGTAAATTGTACATTGTAAAATGCAAAAGTTTCCAAAGTTGAAGTCACCTGCTCGGGTTCCCAAACTACTAAAAAGGCGGGAGGAATCGAAACAAAGTCCCTTTTGTTTCAATTCACGTACAGGACAATTGGCCAGGATCCAGACAGGAAAACCAGGAGGGGAAAGCCGAAGCTCATCAGGCATCAAGGTATAATTTGGCCGGGGACTATTTCATTTTACGGCCAAAGTGGCGCATTTGCATAAAGTTTTATTTTCTTTGACCCGCACTTGGGGATTTCTTTGACTGCGTCTTCGTCCTTTTCCTGGCTGATTTCCATTTCGTCTACTTTGTCGCCAGGAAGTGATTTCCTGCAGCTGCAGCTATTGAAATTCAATATCTTTTGCCACGGAGGGGAGTGAAAAGTCCCAGAGGGAGTATGAACATTTCTTAAAGCCTCGGATCAGCTTTAACAAGTGTTTGCACCACATCACAACATCACACATCAGTCAGCCAACCCAGTATCCTCGGAAGGTAATTTGAAAATCAAACAAGCAGGCGGTGACTCCCTCGCAAATCCTTTCAATTGCTGCAATTTACTGGATAAATAGGATCAAAATCGAATTTAAATGGCAAACAAATTTTTCCTGATTTCGATTTTGTTGACAGAACTTTTCACTTATGTTGCTGAATAAGCAGATTATGCCGACGAGGGTAGTCTACTAGATATATCGCACACCTCCAGCCCACAAGGGGGTAAATAAATCCAGTCACCGCCTTTAAAAATATGAAAATGTAGCGTTTCGGGCGCGTTTTTAAACGCTTCAGAAACATTTTAATTAAATTTCGCATTCGCACTTGAATGGTTATCCCAGTGGCAGGCAAAACTATTTACGTGCCTGGAACAAAAGTGAAATCATTCGATTTTATTTATTTTCACTCGAAACTGAAAACTTTTCCCCACTTTTCTCTTAGCCCCCTCCCATGAAAAGAAAACTTGCGCAAAAAGGCAACCGAAAACTTTTGGAGAAAACTTTCTTGGTTCTCTCCTCTTCCACAAACATAAACAAGATTAATTTCACATGTTTTCCAGGGATGGCGGGGGGTTTTTGGGTTGGGATAAAAAGCTGCTCGAGTTATTACTTTGATTATGTTTATTCTAGTCATGAAATCCAAATGCCCGTTTCATGTGCACTTCATTTAATAAACCCATGCTCCCAAATGAAAGCGCGAAATGATTTCCATGGCATTTTTGTCTGCTCGTGCAAGTTTTCCTCACTTTGTGTGATTAGCCAAGTGAAAAAACAAGAGATTAGGCCACTATTTCCAACTTCATTTGCCTGTGGATAATTCGCGTGTGTGGGAATTATCATACCTCATTACTTACTCATTTTCAAATTAAATGAGGTGAGGTAATATACTTGTCTGATTTAATTTTAGAAGTATAATAAAAGAAGTAAGTATTCTATAGGAAATGTTACAGGATAATAATATTTATAAGATTCCTTTCAATGTTTTTTATAAGTTTGAGTATCATCATTAATATATTATTTTAAAATTTAATTTACAATTGCATTTATTTTCTGTGTAGCTTGATCTGATTTGATATTTGCACAGAAAGAATGGACGCCCAAGGCAAAGCTCTTTAATATAGCCACTAATCTAGACGCTGTCTGTGATCTTTCCACTATCTGCCAATTGCTTGGCAAATTTGGCCACCATCCAATGTATTTTTCACCATTATGCCTTCACTCATCCTCTAGGCCATATCTATATCTCAGTCGTTGCGATCTGTGGCGACTCTTAAGTGCTTTTAATTATGTCCACTTAAGTCTCAATATCGCCAGCTTCCGAAGCACGCAAATCACAGAAAACCACACACATCGGCATGGCGATTTAATAGGGAACTGGGGAGTCGGAGGAGTCGGAGGAAATGCTCCTCCACCAAACGCTCGGCGCACTCTAAATAAAGCATATCAATTTATGAAATTTTAATTTTTACACTTAATAACACGCCGAGTTATGGGCGCGCCAAGTGAAACGGGCCAAGCGAATTCGCCAGGAAAAATGGGAGATGGTGGTGTTGAGAAGTGGCTCAGGGGAACTTTCTTATAGAGACATCAATGTGAGACGCCCGGGCAGGTGGCCCCACCTCCGGGTCCGGGAGTGGGACGCATCGTGGTGCAACTTGTGTGGCAATACCGCAGACGTTGGGCGCAATTAGAGTCGCTCGATGCCCGCTATATTTGGCCCCGACGGACTCGCGGATTATGCCACAAGTCGAGTGGTCTCACGTTTAGAAAATTCACCGAAGTCGCGTATCAACCCCTAAACTGGAACAGGCTATTAAAAGTGTAAATTATATCGCAAAATGTATTTCTTATTTTTTGCATAGTATTTTATTATTTGTATTTAAGGTTTTATTTCTGCACTACCATGAAAGAAAGAACTCGGCATCGGCTAACTAAATAAAAGACACCATTCAAAAAGATTTGTATATAAAATTATTATTAAAATTATAAGACTAGGGGGACATCATGGACTTCGATTGACAATCAACAATCCACATGAAATATACACAGATTTCTGCAATACTGACACATTAGTCGCACCCAAAAAAAAAATACATACATTTCTTGCCCGAACTGAAAAAACTCTTCGCTCAGTTCGAAATGCTCCAATCAAGAATTTTCAATTTCAATTAAAGAGCGTAGAAAATTGAAAATTCTTGGCGGAAGATTGAGTAATATGTTATCCCCGTCTGTTTCTGTTCCTCTCTGTTTTTCTCTCAGGGCGTTCCCGGATGAACGTTTAAATTTTGATAATGTATCTACGACAAGTTCCCTGAAGATCTCTGGATCAAATTTGGCTGGAATTGCTGGGGGTGCTGGTGTCCAGCTCCGAAAACCTGTCCAAAAACTCAGGATCGCTGGAGATCTCGATGGTTTTGTTGAGATCACCGAGCATCTGGGCGATCAGTCCCTGTTGTTGTTCTCGAAATTGAGCCTGTAGACGCTGATTTTCCTCCGCCTGCCGAAGGACCAAAGATTTTAGGAGGTTCTTCTGTTGCTGGAGGTCATTCTCCTTAAATCCGGGTCGTTTGTGGGCGGCCACTGGAGTCCTAATGCTTTTCGGCACATTCAAGTTAATGGGTTTTGCCGGAGGCTTCCGTTTTGCAGGCAATGCCTCACTTTTCTTGGTCTGGTTTAAGCGTTTTGGAGCCACTTTCACATCGATGTTGCGTGGCTTTTGTGTAACTGTCCAAGGTTTGGCCACTTTGGTAATTCTGGGTGCATTGGGTCTGCTACAAACAGTGGGAATAGTGATCACCTGGCAGGGAATCGGTTTGGGGATCCGGCTGGGAACCCTGGCTTTCAGTTTATCTTTTTGCCCTTCAGTCCATCCAATCTGTGAATCACTTTTAACAGCCAAAGTAAGATGGGGCACTGGAATCTGAACCGGGTATCTTCGCCAGAGTTGGTGGTGCAGCCTGTAAAGATCAGGACTGGTGGTGCAGCGTTGCAGTGGCTCCGTGACCAACTCCCTTCCTTGAGAACTCTCAGACTTTGGTGGATCCAATTTGGTTACCCATCCACTCTCCGAGGTGGCCAACTTAACAGGGGTTACCTTAATAACCGCTCGCTGTGGAGGAGTTGGCGGAGCATCCTCTAGCATCAGCTGAGAAGTCATAAGAATTGGCACATTCATTGGCGCAGAAATCTGCACTACCATATTGGCAGTGTGATCGTAGATCATGGTCTCCGATTGCACCAATTTCTGGCGAAAGCGACCATTCACGACTAGGCCATTGGATCCATAGAGTATTTTGGTACTGGTTGATGCATTCTTTTGTTCAACTTTTGGTGTATCCATCAGATACTTAGGATTGGACAGCTTGTTTCTCTTGAGAATAACTTCATTGGTCAGGGCGCACAGGCGGAGGCGCATCATCTCCAGCCGTTTCTTTTCGGTCATCTTTAAGGATTTTAGAAAATAGAAATAAAGATATTATTCTGAAAATAATTACCCACCATGGGAGGTAGGATGGGCTTTCCATCCAGGCAGTATCCCGACTCGAATTCGCGACCTACTATACTATCCAGATCACTTTGGAAGATCAGCTGTTGTATTTCTTTGTCCATTGCAGAAAATTTCGTGTAGAAATTTCAGTTATCGAAAATTATATGTGTTCTATTGGGGAATATTTTCAAGAATTTATTTGTTGTGTGATGTGTAGAGTAAAGGAATGGAATGAAGTGGGGAAGGAATGTGAGTTAAACCAACATCGGGTGACAGTTGTGGATTGAGTTTGTTTGCTACGAATACTTTTCTGCACACGAAAGTACGGTAGACCACAGTCGAAATAAAATGGTACCTTTAATGCCAAGACATTTAGGGATTGGTTTAAAACAAGAAAGTATTTGTGAATGAGGAAAAACATTTATTCTTAAATATGTTTTGCTATTAAATGTTTAAGCTAACTTATTCTAACTTATTCTAGCTTTGTTTATAAGAACATTTATTCATTAAAATTCTATTATTTCCTAAAATATAAATTATAAAAACCTGTTTTCCAAAATAAAAGGGAATATATCCTTCAGATAACATGTAGCTTAAATCGATTGTTTTTCCGAGTGCACACCACATGCAATCCCCCCCTCCATTTAACAGCTTTTCCGTACTTTTGTGTCCTATCCGGACGGAGTCTGACAAATGCGCCGCTCGTCGCCGGAGCGTGCCGCAAAAGGTACGTTCAGTCTAGCGTGGAGCGGCAAACAAGGAGTCCAAATAAAGTCCACTCCATTACCGACAGGACGTTTGTCCTGGCCGTACATACTTATATAGTGGACCGTCTGGAAATTTGTCTTGGCCGGTTGTAGGTGTGATTTGTTTTTTAAATTTTGCACTGCCTTTGGGTTTTCAGAGTTCCAGAAGCTGGCCAATTTGTCTCCCCCAGTTGGTTGACTTTTTATTTGCAATGGAGTCACGTAGCATTTTCACTTGCATACTCGTACTTGGCCAGCGACATGCGGCAATTTTCCACTAAATTTGCCATGTCAAACATATTTGGGACGAACCTGCTGCTCCGGGGCTCATAAAGAATTCAAATTAATACATTAACAGCTTCGGATAAGCGACCTTCGGGGAGAAAAGTGGGTGGTAGACTCCACCGACAGGTAATAAACGCCGAGTTGTTCGTGCCAAAGTCTCGAAAGTTTTGCTCCAAGGCAATTTGCCTCAAGTGGCAATTCGGGAGCGTGCCAAGTGCCTTGGTAACGGTAACAGCCCACGGATTACAAAAACACGGCAGCGGGGTGGGCCCAAGTGGGTTAAGGCGGGGCATTCTACGGTTAACCGCCAGCACCACAAAAGGTATTTATCTCATTGTGCGCAGATTAAGAGCTGCTCTCAAATTAGGTGAGTGTCGTCACGTGACGCAAGACGAGATCTAGATTGAGATGAGGTTGGCAAGAAGTGAAAGGTAGTTGAACGAGGAAGGTGGCTCGAAAAGGGGGTCTATACTTCGTCTGTCAAGATACCACATTTAAAGCATTCAACGTGATACACAAATGCAGCAAGCTTTGAGCTGGTAATACAACATTGTTTTGAAAATATATATAGTAATTATAGATTTTACAATAAACTTGCATTTTATTTTACATGGATTGAATCAGAACGAATGCGATAAGTACGTGTAGTTCTTCAAAATAAAATCATGAAATAATCGATTATAATAAAACTACTCGTGTTTCGATCTAACGTCGTTAAATTCGTTACCAAATATATTCAATCGATTGGCATTCACATTCTTTTGTGCTTTAACTTGGACACAAATTTTAAAGCGACATTTCTTAAAGAGGTGTCGCAAAAACCTATAGTTATTCGAAGATTTCAACTTCACCCCCCTGAAAATCTACACCATCCTCTGGTTATGCAAAGCTTAACCCTACACCTCTCTTTGTGCAGAAACCAAGCCAGACTCCGCTCCGGTTACACTTCATAAATTTAAAGAATTATGAGCCGTGACCCAGACGGAAGCGGAATGCAACCGCAATGGCAGCACGTTCATCGCCAACTGGCCAGGACACAATGAGTCCCCAAAGGAGGTGGAGGTCAACAGGTAATAACGGTTGCACGATTGGTTGGTCTTGACAATTTCTGTTAAATTTACAACCCCAGTGGGCAGGGGCAGATATCAGAGTGCCCCCCGGATTGGATTACAACCGTACTTTTTATTTTATATCCCAGTTTTATGGTCGGACAATCGATGAAAGTTGAGCATTGATTTTCGCTGATTCTGTTGGAAGTTCAAGAGTCGCAGGCTGAAGTTCAAAGCGGTGGCAATCGCTTTAATTGAGTTGCCACGAGCTCATGCATATGCAGGGCTCAATTAAAAGTGCGCCAAGAAAAACCAAGAAAGACAAACACAGGCATAAGGAAAACTCCTTGGAGGGGTGAAAAATGTCTGCAAGTGACTCAAGTCGAGTCGAGTCTCCTGTCTGTTGACATTTCGCGGTATGGAAAAAATTAAATTAAAATGCAAATTAGGCATTCCCGAGGAGTCTGGCCTGCAGTCTGCTATTCCCCCTTTTTTCGTTCTTACTTTTCCTCCTTGCGTCTTCAGCAAAAGTGACAAATTGTTGTAAACACTGCAAGTTACGTATACGCCTCGCGGGACCAGGACTGTCACCTACGAAACGAGGAGTTCAAAGGACGAAAAGAGAGAGAGAGCTTTACCTATTGTATACATATTTTAACACAGCCAAGAAGTCCCGACTTAGGGCCAAGATGAATGTTTTTATTTCTGCGCCTTTCGCCGTCCTTCTTTTTCTGCGGTAAATTATGCAAAGTAGTTGCGTAATGCTCTTGTTACAATAATTTAATCTTGTAATCTGTTTCTGTTCGACTCCCGGCAAGTGCCATAAATAATTCAGCTGGCCTGCTGCAGATGCCGCCGAAAGCTGGCGATGGAAATATCCTTGAAGGAATCTTTGCATTTTTAATTTCAAGGTAAACAAGCGCAGATAACTTCGCCGCCAGAAACGGAATCCTAATGAGCCTCTTCTCAAGGTGACTTCGCCCACTGCCTTTAGTACTTTGGATTGACATTTCAGCGAGGCTGAGTCAGTTAATTCAATTTCCGCAAGCTGAAACAAAAATAAAAGAAGAAGGCACAAAGTTTATCCAGGCAACCCCTTTTTCGGATTCTTTGCTGTGGGGAATGGGGTACTAACGAACCCCATTTGCGGCAGGCTAATTATACCATGAACATCCTTTGAAGAGCTCTTTAAAGAACACAGGTTAACCTTTCTATGTGATAGCGAAATGTTTTTATATTTCGAAAATTCCTGACAATTTTCTGACATGTGCATTTGGTAATGGGATTTTCTTCAGCTCAATTTTTTTTCCAACAGCTAGGACTAACGTTTTTTTCACCTAATTACCCCCGTTTCATCCTTTGAAATGCTCTTTAATCAGCTGTCACAAAATGTAAATCCACCGGCAAAAAAGAAATCGCAGACAACATAAAATTTCAATAACATTCCCGGCGTGTCTTGTCCTTTGGCACAAGGTGCACGGAGCACACAGAAGCAATAACAACCCGAGGATACGTTTTTTGGGGCAGGAAGGAGCCGGAAAACAGGATCCGAGCGGAAGCAATACACGTTGACACGTCGCACGGATACAAAATGTGGCGCTGTTAGTTCCGCAGTTTCGCTGGAGACAAAGGACATCGGCGTAATGTAACGGAAACTCTATTGAATTGCGATAAAAATCGCGTTTGCCAGCGAGAACCCTTTGAACCGCCCCGCCTCCTTTTCGTCCTTGGGCTGCAGGAGGCACGGGCTTAGCCGTTTTAAAGCATACTTTGCGGCTTGTCAACAGGCGGCAAAATTTATTGCAAATGTACGCCAAAAGAGTTGCACGAAGTTAGAGATTATAGTGTATTTTGTCGGGAAGTTTTACTATGTCAATGGTCTAAGATTATTATAGGAAAAATACTAGCGAGAAATTTACTTAAAAATTGTATTATTCATAGTCTTATGCAATATTTACTTTATTATATTACTTTAAGAAAGGAAAAACTTTAACAAGTAATTTATAAATATATAAGTATTTAATTTAGACTCAAGAAATCTATTAAGGATTTAATTTTAAAGCAGTTATATTTTGTATGGTTTTATTCCCCAAAAAGAAAATATACATATTCTATAACTTTTTATTCAGTTTGAAACTTTTCTTTCATGTTCTTTCTTCTCAACTTTGTAAAAGTATCATTGATACTAATGACAGTATATTAAAAAGAAAAATCTTTTAATTTAAGATATATCTCAAATTGTGATGTCATTATTAGTAGAGTGACCAATATTCGTGGACTTTTTCAGTGGCTTTCTATATCCACTTTGGAATGCTGTTCCCGCTGACAATGTTATCGTTACGGTTATTGATTGAAATTTTTTACACTTTGCTTGTTGCCACATTGGCTCCCCTTAACCCTCTGTCACGAAAGGGGTATTGACATTTGGCGACGGTGGGCAAGGGTTAAGAGAAAGCGACAGCTGTTGCCATTTGTGTCTCGGTTTCAAGCAGAATGAAAAACCCAAGGAGCAGTCATCATCTGGGGCAGGTATTCTTAGACCATTTCCCCTTGGAATCCATATGGCTCCGTTCTGGCTTACACGCACATCCTGTCACTGGCAGGACCTTCGCCAAAGGACCATTCACATCACCTACACAATGAGAGCGGAGACGCACAATGGCCACATCAATTGTGCATTTCATTTAACTTGCCACGCCCGTGTGACTTTTAAGTGTTGCCGTATACGGCATACGTACACCCCCTGAAAACCCCCCTTGAACCCCTTTGGACTCCCCCTTTTCCCGGGATTCCCCGAGTGCTGGACATGACAGCTTCTGCATGAGCTGCTCGCTCTCCAAAACTGCCCCTATGGCAAACATGTTGCTGCCAAAAGGCCGAAAGCCAAAGCCCGTTGTCTGTAGGTTTTTAGGTGTGTTTAGGTATTATCTTGTGCTGGGTGTGATGCGGGGGAGGAGCGGGGATTGGGTCAAGGGGTGGTGCTGGTGGTGAGCATGTGGCATTTGGCCCCACCCCCCGCCCACAGCAAACTTTGTGTGCGTTTGTGTCATTGTTAAATTTTGCGCTCGAACGATCTGCAACGGATGACATCCGTATGGCAGGCAAGTTACTTTTTGATTTACAGTATGCTACTTTTTATACCCCGTATTCGGGGCGACAGCAGGGTA